CACACCACAGCAGTGGGCAACGAGCTTAAAGCCCCTGATGGCTCTGGGCACTGACTCTCACCAGTGGCTATGGATGAAGTCACAGGCGATTTTCAGCCAGCGCCAGGATTTTTTTTTTTAATGAAACACTTCACGAGTTTACACGTTATCCTCCTGCAGGGGCCATGCTAACCTCTCTGTCACATTCCCATTTTAGCACATATGCTGCTGATGTGAGCTCCTCCAATGGTTTTGTTGTTGTTGTTCTTTAACTTGTTGTGTGCTGTCGAATCAGAATCAGATCCAACTGGCACAGGAAGAGATTGCCTCTCCTTCTCCAGCAAAGCATCTGGTGGATTCGAACCATGTGCCTTTGGGATGGCAGCACAGCTTCTTGCCACTCAGCCATCAGAGCTCCCTTCTCCAATGGGTTTTTTAAAACATTAAAAACTCACAGCTGTGAGTCAGTTTTGACTCCTAGTGACCCTCCATTGGTGTCTGAGGCTGTAAATCATAACAACAGGAGACTATCAATCGTTCAGGGTCACTGGTGGATTTGAACTACCAGCTATCTGAATAGAAAGTGCCAGTGAGGCCAATACAAATACTGATAGCTCCGCCAGGGCAAGGCGGGTGGAGGCAGGAGGACCCAAATGCTGCTTGCCGGGTCATCCCCACCTCCTACACGTCCGCTGGCTGGGTCATCCCCACCTCCTACACATCTCCTGGCTGGGTCATCCCCACCGCCTACACTTCTCCAACGACTATCTTTCAGAATCAAGCACTTCAGGCAGCACAGCCAGCTGCTGCTGGTGAACTCAACGAGCGCAGACACTGGGGAGTTCAGCTGCTGGGCTCGGCACTGCCAGGACAGGGTGTGGGAGCACGAGGACGACTGCGAGGACCGCCAAGGAGAGGCCTTTGTCTTCTTCACAGGTGCTCTTACGTCAGGGTCTCCAGCACCTCCACCTGGGAGAGTCCTCCAAACAGTAACTCTTAAGTTTTGCCCTTACACCAATCTGGAAAAGGAGGGTCTTGGCCTTGTGGCTCTTCATGATCCCTCATGTGACATGCTAGAAGTTTACAGCCAGCGTTGAGTACAAGTGTGTAGCCAGGGTCCAACTCGACTCAGCAAGGCCTCACGTACACAAGCCCACCCACCACAGCAGTAATTATACTCTAAAGGCTCTTGCCTGCAGCAGACCCACCTGGTCGCTTGTGGTAAAAAGCTAGACTCCTAGCCCTACTCTTGGGGTCAATGTCATTATGTCTGAACGCCACATTTGTAACAGGCCATTTTGCTCAGATGAAGTAGAGAGCCAGTCCTTTCTTATGTCTTAGATTGGATCATAGGGCAGGTCTTTGTGGTTTAAAATCAGGAAAGATGGATAGTAGGGTTATAGTTGGGTACAAAGCTTATTCAGTCTGCATGCTAAGGAAATAATCCGAGAAGATAGACTATATAAAGAATATAGCATAATGATTTGAGGCAGACTCATTCACAACCCGTGATATGTAGATGAAGTCTTCCTCAGTGAATGTGACAAGGACTTGAACACCTGATAAAGAGGACTGAGGAAGCTTAAAGACTATCCGTCAGTACATTTATACTTCAACATAATGAAAATAGAAATCTATGCCACTAGACCAATAAAGCAACATAATGATAAGTGGGGGGAAACTGAAGTTGTTAAGGATTTCGTTTGCCAGATCCACAATCAACACCTATGCGAGCAAGCTGCCAAGAAATGAGATGAGGCATTGCATTGGGTAAATGGGCTGCCAAAGACCTCTTTTAAATGGTAAAAAGCAAAGATGTTATTTTGAAGACCTAAGGTATGACTTGTTCACAGTTTTGGTTTGCTTGGCTCCAGTCAACACTCTTGGAACCACCAGCGAGGAAATTAAAAGATGTATTGCAATGGGAAAGTCTGTGGTTAGAGACCTCTCTAAAGTACTGAAGTGCAACGATGTCAGAGACTAAGGTGCGCCTGATACAGGCCATGGTCTTTGCAATCACTTGCTATGCATCAGAAAGCTGGACAATGACTAGGGATGATAGAAGGAGAATTAATGCCTTTGAGCTGTGGTGCTAGAGAAGAGTATTGAGGGTACCATGGACTGGCAAGAAAATGAACAGATTCATCCTGGAGAGGGTTGAACTGGGCTGCTTCTTGGAGGCAAGGATTCTGAAGCTTTATCTGACATACTTTGGATATGTTTGCAAGGAGGGACTGTTCCTTGGAGAGGGACATCAGGCTTGGGAGGAGGGAGGGACAGTGCAGGAGAGGAAGACCATCTATGAGATGGATTGATTCAGAGACTGGGGTAATGGAGGTAGATGTGTCGGAGATGGTAAGATTGACACAGGATAGGGCAGAGTTTAGGGCTCTTGTACATCGGGTTGCTGTGAGTCGCAGGCAAAGCGATGGCACATTAGAACAATAAGGTATGGCTGACCCAAGTGATGCTGTCTTCAGTTGCTTCATATGCATGTGAAGGCTGGATAATGACTAAGGAAGACTGAAGAAATCATGCCATTGATGAAGGTTTGTGTTGGAAGATATACAGAGAGAATGCTCCTTAGAAGTAAGGATGACTGTTGAGATCTTGTCTCATATACTTTGGACATGCTATCAAGAGGGACCAGACCCTGGAGAAAGACATCATGTTTGGTAAAGTAGTGGGTCAAAGTAATAAAGGAAGACTCTCAATGAGATGGACTGAAATAGTGACTGTAACAACGCCTTCAAACATAGCAATGACTGTGAGGCTGACACAAAACCAGGCACTGTTTTCTTCTGCTGTACCTAAGGTTACTATAGGTAGGATCCAACTCAACTGCTTCTAACAGCAACATGCCTGGATGCCAACAAGTCCTATGGATGATACCAATCTTCATCGGGCTTGGCGATGATTATCCTTGCACTTTTGAAGGTTGTGCCTTAGACTCATCTGCAGAGATTTTACTATGACTGATACTACTACCCTTCCACTCCAAGTCAGAATCTGACTTGATTGGGCTGGGGGTTGTTTTAAGTTGTGGTCCAACTGGGCCCTGACTCTTGGTGACCTTACATATACAGAATACACCTGTACTTCATAGGCCTCTTAGGGCTGGAGCTCTAGTGGCTTTATGGTAAGAAGTTGTGCTGTCAATGCAAAGGCACAGGGTTCAAATCCACCAGCTGCTCCATGGGAGAGAGATGGTCAATCTCCTCCCAGGTGAGTTACTGCCTCTAAAACCTTGCCAGAGGGTCAACTATGGATTACTTCTGACTTGAAGGTGTATAACAATGTTGTTGTAATGTGCTGTCAAGTTGCCTGTGACTCATAGCGACCCTATGTAAAACACCTCTGAAGCCTTCCCTGTCCTGAGCTAGTCTCACTGGCTCTGACACACTTACCCCCTTCGCCCCAGTTACTGTATCTCATCTCATCTCATCTCATCTCATCTCATCTCATCTCATCTCATCATCTCATCTCATCTCATCTCATCTCATCTCATCTCATCTCATCCCATCTCATTCGGGATCTTCCTCCCTTGCATTGTCCCTCCACCTTCTGAGCATGATGTCCTTCTCCAGGGGACCGGTCTGTCCTGGCCACATGCCCAAAGTATGTGAGATAGAGCTTCAAAATCCTAGCTTTCCAAGGAGAAACTAGATTTTACCCTCTCAAAGACAGCCCTATTTGTTTTCTTGGTGGTCCATGGTATGTCTCCAGCACCACAGCTGAAAGGCATCAATAATTCTTCTGTCATCCTTAGTTAATGTCCAGCTCTCTGATGCATACATAGTAAGTGATTGTGAAGACCATGGCCTGGATCAGGCGCAGTTTAGTCTCTTAAACTGACATCGTTGCTTCTCAGTACTCTGGAGAGGTCCCTGATAGCAGATTTTCCCAGTGCAATTTGTCTTTTAATTTCCTGACTGCTGGTGCAAGGACTGTTGATTTTGGAGCCAAGCAAGCTGTAACTTTTAACAGCCTCAATCTCTTCTCCATCTATCATGGTGCTGCCAATTGGCCCAGTGGTGAGAATCTTTGTCTTCTTGATATTGAGCATCAATCCATGTTGAAGTCTACAGTCCTTGACCTTCTGAAGCAAACACTTCAAGTCCTCCTCAGTTTCAGCCATCAAGGTTGGGTCATCTGCATAATGTAGGTTGTTGATGAGTCTTCCTCTAGTCCTGATGCCACATTCCTCCTCATAAAGCCTAGACTCTCAAATGATCTGTTTTGTATGTAGATTGAAAAGTTATGGAGACAGGATGCATCTGTGATGCACTCTTTTCCTGATTTTGAACCATGCAGTGTGTCCTTGCTCTGTTTTGAGGACTGCTTCCTGGTCTGAGTATAGATGAGCACAATCAAGTGTTCTGGGATTCCCATTCTTCTCAAGGTTAGTCACAATTTGTGATCCATACAGCCAAATGTCTTTGCATAGACAATAAACTTTTCAAAAGTCTGTGTTCCAAAATGCTTCTGGATAAATTTGAACAATCCACCTTTTGACTGTAAGCACATAACCAGTTTTACCATTGAGGAGCCCCTGTTCTGTTGTGCTTTTGTTGTTATTCATCGTTGACTCAGAATCGACTCCAAGCTGACCCTCCAGCATCTTTTCAAAGGCAGTAAATTGTATGGGTGGAGCAGTAGGTAGATTCGAATCACATGCTTTTGGGATTGCAGTACAACTTCTTACCACTAGGCTACCAGAGCTCCTTAGAGGGGAAATGGGGTGAATGAGATATTTGATCTGAAACACATAGTCTGAAAGAAAAATAGTGCTGCTATACTAGAAATGTCACAAATGGGTGGCTTTAATGAACATTCCCTCCCCTCAGAGTTAAAAAGTTAAAAAATGGTGCATTGTTGTTGTTGTTGTTAGGTGCCATTGAGTATATATAACTCATAGTGACTCTATGAATGAAAGATCTGCACTCTGTCCTATCCTGCACCATCCTCACACTTCCTGACACACAAGAGCCCATTGCAGCAGTCACCATGTCAATCCACATGGCTGAAGGTGTGTAGGAACTGTACAGATTTTTAAGAGCCTGTCAGATGATTCTAATGTGTAACCAGGGTAAAGAACCATGGCATTTACCTGATTCTAGAGTTGGTCCATGTGATAGGGAGGCAATCAACCACATATGACTATTTAAATGAAAATGAATAAAATCCAAAGTTCTCTTTAATTACACTAGCCACATTCCAAGTGTTCTATAGCCATACATGACTATTGTTAGGTGCCATCCAATCAGCCCCAACTCACAGTGATCCTACGTGGGACAGAACGAAACCCTGCCCAGTCCAACAGCCTTGCAATCTCTCCTGGGCTTATACCCTCATCGTTGTGCTCACCAGGTCAATCTCATCGCAGGTCTTCCTCAGCATGTAGATAGGGTTATCATGTTGACTAGCACAGATACAGGACATTTCCATCATCAGGGAAGTTTTAGGGGATAGCACCGATCTGGAGACCTGATCCCCAGGTAATGCCTGCTCATCACACCACTGTTCACCCAAGAACCTGAAACACACATGTTTTTACAAGTACTTGGGAAAAATTTGATGATTATTTGTCTTTCAGCCTTTGTGTTTCAGAATCAATATTTACTTCATGTCAACTCTGTAAAGTAGGTCAGGGTATGATACTGCTCCCACGTGACATAGGAGAAGAGTCAAGGCTCTGAGCAGGAAAGTTATTCATTTCAGATCTCAGAGCAAGTGGGTAGCAGAACCAGGAATCCAGCCAGAAATCTTGACTTGAGTCTAGTATTTCTTGTAACATTTTGCACATTCAAGGGCCCTGCTATGGATTGAATTGTGTTCTCTAAAAATACCTATTGTAAATTCCAACATGTGTCTGCTAAAGAAATCCCACTTGGGAATAGAATTTTGTTATGTTAATGAAACTAGATCAGTGTCAAGACTCTCTTAAACAAAGAAATTTTAAGATATAAAAGAAGTGTATTAGGCATAGAAGCAAGCGAGCAGAGGGGAGGAAGAGAAATGAGATGTGACATGAAGATCATGAAGGAACTGAGGACAAAAGCTGAAGAGAGAGAAGGGCCCTCCCCTAATGCTCATAGAGAGAGAAAGTTCTAGTGGCTGTGCCCAGAATTTGGACTTCTGGACCTTTTACTCTGAGGAAAAAGTATTCTGTCTGTGAAACCACCCATTTGAGACATTTCTTTTTTTTTCTTAAAGATTTTTTTTTTAATTATTTTGTGTGTGTACCGTCAAATCAGACTGACTGGTACTGGAGGAGATTGTCCCTCCTTCTCCAGCAGAGTATCTGGTGGATTTGAACCATGTTCCTCTGGGATTGCAGTGTAGCTTCTTGCCACTAGGCCACCAGAGCTCCCTCATTTGTGACATTTCTAATACAGCAACACTATTTTTCTTTCACAACGTGTTTCAGATCAAATATTTCATTTATCCCATTTCATCTCTAGAGATCAAACCACTAGAGATCACACAATCTGAAGCCTTCATTGCACAGATAAAGACATCGAAGACCAGAGAAGGAAGGGGATTTGAGAACAAGCTAATGACGGGACTCTGAGCTGGGCTTCAGCATCCTTAGACCACAGCCCTTTAAAAGAGAAAGAGAACAGAGAATGAGGACGGGTATAGGAAATGAAGTTTCAAGTCCCCAAAAGGGACCATGTGTTCCAGGGTGATGTCTCGAGGTCATTCTTCTCTCCCCCTCGTCTCCAGACCCAGAGGAGCTATTTGTCCCCACGGAGGATTACTATGAGGTGGTGCAGCTCCGCACCCACCAGCCAGCCCTGCTTCCCTGCCAGGTGACCAGCCCCCTGGCCCAGGTGACACTGCACCGGGAGTTCCCTCCTGAGGAGATCCCTGTGGATGGGATAGAGATCTCCTTTGACGTGAAGAAGGGCTTCACCATCCACCGGCCCCACGCGTCCTTGGCTGGCTCCCTCTTCTGCATGGCCAGCCTGGGCCACATAAGACAAATTTCTACTAAATACATGCTGATCTACATCAACTGTGAGTGGGTCTTGGGTTCTCGGTGGGCAGGGAAAGGGTGGTTATGAGATACCCTCTTTGGGAGCCTTAGGTCTGGGGAATCTGGATTATGGAACTCTAAACACCCCATCTTATAGTGAAACTTCTGTAGTTTCAAGGCTGTAAATCTTTATGGAACACCACTGCCTCATGTTTCCCTAGTGGAGCAGTGTTTGAACCACGTATATTTTAACGATGAATCAGTCAACTAGATGGTAATGGGGTTTCATTTGTTTTATTTATATTTATAAACCCACCAAGCAGGTTGGTGTCAAGGGTGATAGTGATTGGCGCGCTAATCAAAAGGGTGGTTTAAGTCCGCCAGAGGCATTTTGGAAGAAAGGCCTGGAGATGTAAAGAATATTACCTTTTATTATTACATTCTTTTTAAAAAATGTCCCCCCCCCTTGCTATGTGTACCATCAAATCGGATCTGACTGGCACAGAAGGAGATTGCCCCTCCTTCTCCAGCAGAGAATCCAGCATCTTGTGGATTTGAACCACATGCCTTAGGGATTGCAGTGTAACTTCTTGCCACTAGGCCACCAAAGTTCCTGAGAAATCAGGCATTGAGAACCCTATGAAGGACAATGCTAGATTGACACACAAGGTGCTGCCATGAATGGGGCCTGACTCATTGGCACTGCTTTCTTTATAACAAACCACCAAGTAGCTTTCAACAACATTCCCTCTATTCACTCATTCTGTCCTGACAGCTAATCAGTGCAGCCAGCCAATTGGTTCAAAATTTCTGTCCACCACCCTGATTCAATCAAGGCCAATTATTTCATCTATCTATCCTCTATCAAACCAGCCATTCCAACCAGCTGTTCTCTATCAAGTTCTTTCATCCACACATTCACTCTTCTCCATTAATTCATTACTGTCATTTATACATCCACATCTTCTCTATTTGACTCATCTATTTCACCCTCCTCTGTCTTCAATTCAACCATTATATAATTATATTTTTAATATATAATTTTAAATATTTGCATTATATCATTATAAATAGTCTTGGAAGCAGGAGTAGCATCTACTTCCAAACACTTTGCCTCTGGAAACTCTATGAACTTGGAGAAAAGATGAAAGTTTTTCATTGAAGATGTTTATTCATAGGGTAGCTACGGGTAGTCTACGACTCTCCAGCATTTAACAACAATTATAAATATTGGCCCTATTTTCTCTCTCCTTTTATGGATGACAGACCCATCTTCACCTCCCAAACCCACCATCCAAGCTTCAGCAACATCTGTCCAACTGGGGGACAACTTCATTGTGACCTGCACAGTTCTGGGCGAGCCAGAGATTGCTGTGGACTTTAGTTGGGAATATCCAGGGCAGAAGGTAAGCAGAGGGGAAGAAGAGGCTGTGTGTATGGGGGCAGGGGTGGGAGAAAGGAATGACGACATAAGGGGAACCACGACTTGACTGGGAATCGGATGAACATGGCTTGAAGTCTCAGTGCTGACAATGCCTCTCTGGTGACTTTGGGCTAGTTGCTTCCCTGTCCTCAGCCTCAGTTTTCCTGTTTGTCAAATAGAGATCCTTCTTAGTTACTGTAGAAGAACAGTAGAAATACATCTGATTTATTCCTTTATTGTTGCTTGTTGTTGTTGTCCTTTATTAATTAAAAAAATAATGGAGTGCATTATGTGTCAGGCACTGTATTAGGTTTGGATTCTATACAGTGATGAATAAAAAAGAGATATGGTTTCTGGTCTCTGCAAGCTTACAGGCTGAGCAGGGAGAATGTCAAGAGCTACAGAGGGAGCTCTCGTGGTGTAGGACACAGGAAGTTGCCTTGCTAACCCAGAAGTGATGATTCAAATCCACCAGCGGCTCTGAGAAAGAAAGACGGGTCATCTCCTTCTAAGTAAATGATAATCTCTGAAAACCTGCTGAAGAGTCAGTTCTAACTTGATTATAATGAAAGTAAGTGAAGAACTACAAAGAGAATGGAATAAGACAATGGAGTATGGCCTAGCTAAAACAGAGTGTTTGAGGTGTCATTCAAGTGTAGACCAGATTGGCCTTAAGCACACAAATATGAGGGTTGGGCAAATGCAAGCTGAGCATGTATACAGATGTCTATGTTTTCAGATGTGTGTACACATGTGAAAAGGAGAAACTATATGAACAGATAGACAAGCACATAATACACTAGCAACTCCTTCCAGGACATTCTCTGAGCCCAGCCCTGCCCTAGGCATTAGAGATGATGATATGTCCTTTCAAAGAACTTAATCCCATAAATGCCAACCATCTGTCAAACAGCCACACCAAATAGGAGCAACATTAAGACCACTAGGAATTCTGAAAAGAACTTCCTGGAAAAGCTGGAATTTGACTTGATCGAGGCAGTAGGATGGAGGTGAGTGAAAGGAATGCCAGCAGACCACAGGAGGAAAGAACACATGTGGACAGATCTTCCACAGGAGCCACCAAGATGTACATGCTCCACCCTGCCACCTGCCCGGAAGCCACGAAGGACCCCATGAAGCACTCTAAGTTCCAGGGAGCTATTGAAGTCTGCTAGGAGAGCTGACTGAATGTAGACTGGAGATTAAAGAGCTGGGGCAGAGAGACTGATTAAGTGCTACTGTCCAATCAGAGGTCCCTTAGGAAATGTCTTCTCGTTCTATGCTGTCAAGTCAGAACTGACACATAGCTGACCCTTCAGTGAATTTTCAGAGGCTGGAAGTTGCATGGGAGAGGATCCATCTTTCCTCTGTGGAGAAGGGGGAAATGAAACATTTTATAGGGGCCATGACCTGACGATGATATCACAGTTTCCTGCAGCCAGAGACCCATGGAGCTCAGTCAGTGTGCTCTGCCTCCACTTTGCCTTTAAGTGGGCTGGGCTCGTACATTGTGAACCCTAAATTCACCTCTACATTCTCTGCAGGGGCTAACTGATGGTGTACCCAGCAAAGGTGCATTGAAGGTGAACCCTATAGAGGCCTAAGGAGATTAACAGAGTGAGTAGGTGGATGATCATTCTTCCACTCAAAGGATGAGGAAAAAGAGGCTCAAGCAGAGGAAATGATCACACGAATGACTGAGAGATACTGACTTTACCATGACAACATTCCCCAAGACATGTCCCTTGGCATAGTCATCCCAAACTCAATTCATTGCTGTCGAGTCAGATCTGATTCATAGCCAATCCTCCAGCCAGTCTTCAGAGGCTAGAAATGGCTTGAGAGGAGACTGTCACCTTTGTCCTGCAGAGCGGCTAGTGGATGCAATCATCTGAGAGGAGCTGCCTTTGGGTTTAGTAATGTAACACCCTCCAGTCTATACCACCAGAGCACTTGGCATGGCAGCGAACCCCAAACACTCTCTCCTGCCCCCTAAAAATGAATTCTCAGGGACTCTACCTCTCATAACCACCACTTACCTTGGAGACTGAAAGGCATTTGTACACATGACAGACACGACAGCCTCAGCTTCACAATTTAATTTGGTAAATTGCTGCTGTTTCCAAGATACTTCTTATTCTGGAATCCCCACTTTCCTCACACTGGGAGAGTGGGTCATGCTAACATCTGTACAGAACGGAGGTGGGGCAGGATACACTCTGAGAACACTGCTGGGAACATGCCTTGAACAGAGGAGGGGCCTCTAGGGTCTCCCTCTTGGCTGGAGAATTAAAGTTTTCCATTAAGAACTCAGTGTCTAAGGTCCTTTATCACTAAGTCCAAAGTGGGACTTGTTTAAGTAACGTCCCTTTTCTATCTGTTGCAGGCATAATTGGTGTCCTCTTACCTGACCCCTGGTGCCTGAAGTGGTGACGACACCTGGGGCAGCTGAAAGAGAATTATTTTGTTGTTGTTTTGTCCTCTGCAGCTGGGACGACCGCCCTACGTCAGCGAGCGGGCACATGTGGTGCACAAGGAAGGCCAGGTACAGCAGGAGGCGGCGAGCACCCTCCATGTGGAGGAGGCCCGGGCCGGGGATGCTGGTTTCTACACCTGCAGGGCCACCAACCTCCAGGGCATGGGGACGGCTACCACCCGTATCCGTGTGATCCGAAACCCTCCTGTATCCCCTGGTGCCTTTTAGCTCCTTCCTGGCTGTAGGCACTTGGTGCGGGTGAATGGGCAGAAATAGGTAGGTGCTTATGTGATCTGCCTCAGGAGGTGTGAGGATGGCATGAGATAGGATGGGGTTCAGATCTGTTGTTTGTAAGGCCACTATGGGTTGTACTCAACTTGACGGCACCTAACAACATACTGCCAGTAATTTTAGGGCCAACGCCAAGGAGTAGACCCCAAATGAGAGAAAGAACTTAATTACTCACCCAGTAGACATCCCTTGACCCCCTAAAATTGTCATCTCACTTCACTCTCACAACCTCTCTCTGAGGTATGATCTATTTTGAGGGCTGACTCTCTGAGGCTGAGGCGTGGCTAGGGCCAGTCATGCTTCAGTCCCTGCAGAGGGAGCTCCAGGCCACTGGTGGGTCACCAGGCTCCTGGCTTGATGGTGGAAGACCCTGCTGCTGGCAGCAGGGCTCAGCAAACACCCGCTTCCTCCCTCTCCCAGGAAAACACAGGGCAAAACAAAACAAGGTTCTCTGTGTTCTTTTTAGTTCCACAGCTTGTCCACCAGACGTGGGCATGACTAGTCTCCTCACAGACCACACGAGGCAAGGACCCCCAACTCCTTTATAACTTACCCCATCTCAAGCCCTGCCCCTTTGCAATTAAAAACGGCTTCTAAAGTGCATTCTGCAGCCTGAGTACTCTCTGAATATGGGGGTGAAGCTTGATCAAGGAAGGCTGGGATGCTCTGGATATTTTGTAGACATTTTCAACCCCTCATAGCACACGAACGATTCTGGGCCAACTCAAGGGAAGGCGCATGTGGGGCCTCAAGGCCCTGGGGGTGGTTCTGCTTGACCCAAGCCCCCTAGGGCTCTGGCCGTACACCTTGGCTCTCAGGTTACTCCTGCTCGGCCTTCCTCCATGGAAGGGTGCGGAGAGGCTGCACTGGCCTCTCAGGAAAGTCCTCGAGAGGGAGCTGTGACACAGGCGTCACAGCAGGCCTAAGCTCTATGTGGCCGCAAGGAAGGAGACCTCTGTGGGAGTGACAGAAGCCAGTGGAAAGGCTGGGGAGGCATCAGCCCCAAGGACCCGATACAGTAGCTCCTCCTTCTCCTGCTGAAGCTGTTGCCGTAACTGCAGCTCCTTCTCCAGGGCCTCACGGGCAAGCAGCAGGTCCTCAGAGAGCTGCCTGTGGGAAACACATAGTCCAGAGCTGCAGACTTGTAGCAGCTGGGGGGGTTTCCAGCCAGCGATAAACCCTTTTCTCCAGGAAGCATTGCCTGGGTTGACACCAGCCTACTCTGGGGTCCCTGCAGCCCTCTCCTTTGCCTGTATGTAAGGACCTGGGCCTGACAGGCAGACAGCTCTGGGTTCAAATCTGAGGCTCACTACTTAAGCTTGGACTAGCTATTCACTCTTGCTGAGTTTCAGTCAATTAAATGCTAGACTACTAACCAAAAGTTGGTGGTTCAAATCCATTGAATGGAGTCACATGAGAAAGGCCTACTTATAAAAGGCGGCAGCTACTGAAAACTCCAAGGAGCATAATTCTACTGACACATAGGGTGTTGCTATGAGTTGGAATCAACCCAATGTGAACCTTTTTATTTTTTTAAATGGGAGGAAAAAAAAAATAATAAGAGTCCTCATCTCTTAGGATAATAGGCTAAGTGACATAATATGTGAAGGATTCAATAAAGCATGTCTGAAATACGATAATTGCTCTCTTAGAGCCGACTCAATCTATTCAGAGCCTTGTAAGTTTCCTGTTTCAGTTTCCTCTTCCCTGTTTAGGGCTTTCCTGGGAAGCCCATTCAGCCGGGGATGGGCCTGAACAAGCCAGGGGATGGGAGCAGAGGCCAGACAGGGCCGGTCCCTGAGGATTCCTCACTCCCAGTGGAACAGGAGCCATTTCCCCAGGCAGGCCCTGGAACGTCTGTCTGTCCATCCCTCCCTCCTCAGAGCCTCTCCTCATGGGAGAGAATGAGCCAAAGGAGGGGATGAAGTGAAGGCGGGGAGGGGGAGGGAGGTTGGTATGGCTACCTGGACGTGACCACCAGGTTCCGGCCTCGGACGTGGAGGTCCTCATTCTCCTGCTGTAGGGTGGTCATCTTCTCCTCCAACATCAGGTTCTTTTCTCTCTGTAACAAATCAGGACGAGCTCAGCCAGCTGCTGCCGTGGACATAGCACCATGTGGGCTCACCTCCCTGCTCTCTGTGGGAACTGAAGATACAGTCTAGACCACACATTACAGTTTGTGGAAGAAGGTTCTCAAATGAAATAAAATCAAGAAGCTAATGTACGGCTGCCAACTTCTAACTCTGTCATGTGAGCATATTGAAGAATGGAGCCACTGCTGTCTGGTTTCCCCATCAGTTCATACAAGAACGGATGTTCTTTGCTTCCCAAAAGTAATTTCTTACCCTGTTCTACGAAAGTGGCTGAACAAAACTTTACAGAGCATGTTTGAGACAGTCAGATGAAACCACTGGTCATGTGACACAGACAGCATTTACTTTGAAGGAGGCCAGGGAGCCTCCTTCGAGATTATAGAGCAACACAATCCCTGGTTGGATTCAACCCTCGTTTTCCGGGAGCTCTGGTGGCCAAGTCAGTAAGGAGCTGTGCTGCCAATCTGAAAGGACTCGGTCAAATCCACCAGCTGCTCCAAAGGAGAAAGATGGGCAACCTCCTCCAGGGAGATTTAGAGCCTCTGAGAACCACTAGAGGCTCAGCTAGGAGTGGGTTCCAATTTGGCGACACATAACAACTAGCCTCTATTCTGCTGGAAACAAAACCACCAGTGACCCCACTGCCCTCAGCTCCCCAGCTTGTCCGTATTCACTTGGGCTTACTAACTTGTTCACCTTCTATCTCTACCCCTTTCCTCAGCCCCTACCAGAGCTGTGACATTTGCCAGTCCCTCCTAATTAGCCAGACTCTTTGTGTCCCTGCCATTCCAAATGCCAGCAACGCTGACGGCCAAGAAAAGCACAGGCCCCTGATGATAAAGAGCCCCGTTTGACCCAGAACAGCCACAGTGGACATAGTCTATTGTTCAAGTGCCAGAGTGGTGTGAACCAGGCTGGGGCCTCTTCAGAGCACCTCCCCTCTCTACCCTTTACAGACACAATGCCTGAGGAGCTGATGTCTGAGGCTACACCCCCCCAGCCGCTCCCAGCCACAGACCACTGTCTCCATGTGGATCAGCCGCTTGTCCAGCTCATGAATACGTTCATTCTTCATCTCGATGACAAAGTGTAAACTCTCCAGCTCCTGCTCCCAGAATGGGCTGGGGCTCCCGTAATCCTAGACAGGGACACAGAGTGACCTCATCAGATCTGCAAGCAGAAAGGGGCATGGTCCACTTCCTCTCTATTCTATCATGACTTTGTTGACTTTCTCGTTACCTCCCTCTCTTGCTGTTGGTGGTGGTTTTGTTGTTATGTGCTGTGGAGTCACCTGTGACTCATAGTGACCCTATGTACAACAGCCCTAAATCCTGCTCTATCCGGTACCAATCTCAGTGTCTCCAACACACCAACTCCGATTACTCCAGTCACTGAATCAATCTACCTCATAGAGGGTCTTCCTCTCCTGTCCCTCCACCCTCCCGAGCATGATGTCCTTCTCCAACGACTGGTCCCTCCTTGCAACATGTCCAAAGTATGTCAGAAGATGTTTCAGAATTCTTGCCTCCAAGGAGCAGCCTGGTTTAACCTTCTCTTGGACAAACCTGTTCGTTTTCTTAGTAGTCCATGATATATTCAATAATCTTCTCCAACACCACAGCTTAAAGGCAGCAATTCTCCTATCATTCCCTAGTCATTGTCCAGCTCTCTGATGCATAGCAAGTGATTGCAAAGACCACAGCCTGTATCAGGCATACCTTAGTCTCCAGAGTGACATTATTGCTCTTCATTACTTTGGAGAGGTCTCTAACAGCACATTTAAAGAAAAAAAAAATCAAGCCAGATGCTGTTCAGTTGATCCCAACTCATGGCATCCCCATGTGTTGACAAACAGAACTTCTCCACTGGGTCTTCAAGAGCTGGTGTTTTTGGAAAAAGATCCCCAGGCCATTCTTGGCACATGGTGACTGCCTACTGTCTTCATGTCATATAACACCCACTGAGGTGCGCTTCTGGAGCTATCAAAGATGAGGAAACTCAGATTTCTCAGATTCCTGAGGTTCCCTCAGATTGGTGGAGTCTTCTGTGGTTAGTTTGCTATTTGTACCCGTTTCTCTCTGAATGCAGGCAGTGAGCGAGCAATTCACTGCTGCGCCATAGGTTCCTCTGAATCTCACTACTTCCCTCTGTGGAATGGGCCGTCCTGCTTCCAGGGACCGTGAAGGTCAAGAGTGTTGAGTCTGAGCCTTACCTATGGAGAGCTGTCTTATTATACCTCCAGGTGGGTAGCACAAACGGTTTGTACTCCACTACTAATCTACATAAAGGTTGGCAAGTCAAGCCTAAACAGCGGTGCCATGGAAAAAAGGCCCAATAGTTTGTTTTTGCAAAGATTAGAGCCAAGAAAAAGAGCAAGATTAAAGTAGCTTCAATGGAAACAAGTGTATTTTTGTCTTATGGGATTGGCTTTCCTGATCAATTGGGCCAGCCTCTCTGGAGATTCAAGGAGACGTCTCGGGGTGCACTGCCACCTACCTGGATGTGCTTCTTGTAGTTTCGGCTCAGGATAGACTCCTCCACCCTCTTCATCTTGGCTTGGAAGGCCTGCAGCTGTGAAGTCAGCCCCTCTATGGTCTCCTGAAGAGGGAAGCAGGAGGCAGACACTCAAAACCTGACTCATGAAGGAAGCTCCAGGGGACCTTCCACAACCCAGAGAGTGAACAGCCTGGGATTTTACCTTTTGCCTGCCTTACACAGCAATGCTGGAAGCACTTCGACCTCCCTGTTACTACAAATTCTTCAGCGACTTTGCAGGGCCATAGGGAAGATGCTCTGGGACTCAAGGCCAGCCTTAGTCTGGCATTCAAAGGCTCCAAACTAGGCCCAGTAGGCTTTCTTAGTCTCCTTTTCAATTGCTCCTCTTCATACACCTTCTTCAGCCAAACAGGCAAACAGGTCATGTCACCTTACTCTTCAAAGTGTCATCTCCAACTTTCCCCCTACCAAAAATTTTCTTCACCTAAACCTTGACAATGGTCTCTAAGAGAGAGTAAAGCCCATTAACATGGCCCATGACTGCCCCTTGCAGGCTCCTTTCTAGCTGACCAGCCTCAGCCATCTCTTCCTCCTCTCTCCCGCCCATGAGACACCTTAGACTTCTTTCAGTTCCTCAAGTACTCCCTGCTCTCCTCATCTTTTCATGCTTTTACACATTGTATTCCCCTTATCCCCCCAAACCTTCTTTCCTATTCTTCTTCACATGAAGGGTCCTAGCCCACCCTTTAGGTTCTAGCTTAGATATTACTCCCTCTAGAAAATCTTCCTGGCCAGCTAGATCAGCTTAACTGCCTCTTTACTTAGGAAACGCTGGTGGTCTGGTGGGTAGGAAGCTGCTCTGCCAATCCACCCAGAGATGGGCAATCCGAGTCCTCTGGCTGCTCTAAGGGGAAAAGATGGACAATCTCCTCCAGAGCTATTTACAGCCTCTGAAAACCTGCTGGAGAGCCACTTATGAGTCCATTCCCACGTAACAACCCTGAGAGAAAGAGTGAGCCCCTTTAAATGCTCTTGCAGAGGTGTGATTAGAGTACGCATTTACCCACCAGTCCTACCTCACATTTAAGCGCCAAGACCAACCCGCCATTCCTTAGGAACATAGGCCAACTCCAACATTGGACAGTTTTCTTGAGCTAAAAGTCCGCTGCCACATATGGATGATGATTACCTCTGACACATCTACGCAGAGGCCATTGAGTTGGCTGCTTTGGGATTTTATGTAGTTTTTTTCCTTCAGGGCACTTTCTTCCCTCACCACACAGACCAACCCCTCTCACCTGCAGGGCTGCCTTGGCCTCCTGGAAGGAGTGGTTAAGGGCTTCTTTCTCTTGCTCATGTGAGGAGCGGAGTGCTGTGGGGAAAGGAGACCACTATGAGCTCAGGCACCCAGACACTCCTGAAGTCTTCTAGAAGCTTAGGACCAGGGAAGTCCAAGTGATCCCCTGAGACCCATAAAGGTCAGGAACTGGGAATAGTCTCAGTTTTCCTTCCATCTCCTGGGCTTGGAGCTGAGCCAGAACTATAGAAGGTATTTCATAAAAGTGCATAGAAATGAAACCAAAGTAGACTCCTGGAGGAACTTAAAACCCATCAGATTGTGGGAACTACCCACATTTGCTAAGGCTTTGACTCAAAGATTTCCTTGTCATAAGTATACTCATCTTAGACAACATCAAAATATGGAAAAAAATGCATTAGGGCAAATACTCGGTAAACCGGTAGTATTTATGACAAGTCATTAGCTGTGTAACCATAGTGTGAAAAATATGAAGTGTTTAATTGTAGTGTGAAACTGTGGAAGACATCCTGGATTTGACAACAATCTCCATAGTCTTGACTTGGCTGCTTCATGACCATAAGGTCAGTTCAAGCATCTAAAGTCCTGCTGCTTCAGCTGTGAAATGGGTCAATAAATAGCTGGCCTGGTTGTCTCAAAGGTATCTTGAGAATTAACAGGATAAGGATATGCAAGTTCCTTTCAGGCTGGTACTGTACACATCTGAGCTGGCTATCATTCTCCAAATCAATAGAATTATATTTATCATCCCACCTCCCCCCCTCAAGGTCCTTTTAGAAAATCTTAACACCTTGTCTCAGCTGAAAGAAAACAATAGAGAAACGAACAGTCAATGGAAGGATGAAAGCAGGCAAACACGGATGGGAACCCATTGCCAAGAAATTGGTTGCAACTCATGGAAAACTTCCATCTGGTTTCCGAGGCTGTGAATCTCTATGGGAGGTGACCGTCCACCCTTCTCCAGTGGAACAGTGATGGTTCTAACCACCAACCTTTCAGTTAGCAGTCTAACACCTAAGGCACTGCACCACCAGGGCTCTTTGAGGACAAGAAAGGAGTGTTTAATGTAGTCAAAGGGGTTGTGTGTAGTCAAAGGGCTGTGTGTATGGCAATGACATACACATTTCTCTGTCCAGGAGAATGGCTGTCAGAAGCGGATAGATCAGCTGTGTCACTATCACAACCTCGAGGTTTAAAAGGATAGGCCTTCCAAAGGGAATATATGATCAGGCATTATATGTATGACAACAATCTGGAACAAAGGGGCATGGCAAAGTGGATTCGGGGAAGGGCGGGGGAGAGGAGGGAAGAAAATGCACAATTAAAAATGAAAAAAGGGGAAAAACGATGGGTCTTCTTTGTTAATTTACATGTCAAGACAGGTTTTGGTGTCAGGTACAATGGAGTGAAAGATAACACTGTCAACCAACTAGCTCTAAATGATTTATTCATAGAATATCCCACTCACAATAACAGAACACACATTATTTTCAAGTGCATATGAAATATTCACCAGGGCAGACCATATCATGAGTCCTACAACAAATCTTTACAAATTTAAAATGATCAAATGTATAAACTATATTTTCTGGCCATAATGGAATCAAAATACAAGTCAATAATAGAGTGGCAACAAGAAAATCTCCTTAACAAGAGGAAACATTCAAGAAATCAAAGAATGAGTCTCAAGGGGCATTAGAATTTTTTAGTTGAAGAAAACCAAAATATTGATTTCTAGAATGAGACTAAAGCAGTGCTTAGAAGGAAATTTATATCACTAAATAGTTATTTTAGAAAAGAAGAAAGGTCACAAATAAATAATCCTGGTTTTAGTTTTAGAAATTAGAAAAATAAGAACCAAACACAAAATAAGCAAAGAGAATGAAAGTATCACATCATCCATCAATAGAATTAAAAGTGAAAAAAAAGTCAATGAGATAAAAATCTGCTTCTTTGAAGAAATTAATTGGTAAACCTCTAGCAAGATGGGAAAAAGAGAGGGAGAGGGAGTCCTAGGAACAAGTGTATGAACATGCATATAGCTATTTAGGTGAAATGTACTAATTTATCAAAATCCAACTACCTAAATAACCCCAAGGTGAAATACTTAACTTAAATATTTCTATAACAATTTTAAAAACCAAATCTGTAGTAGTTAAATACCTTCTGGGGAAAAAATGTCCAGGTGCAGATATTTTCCCTGGTAAATGTTACTAAATATTTTTTTAAAAGACAGAATACCCATTTAGCAACTATAAATGAACAATCTTGGAGAGAAAGGGACTGTTGACACAGGTACTTTGAGAGAAGAAGTGGATTGTTAGCCATCATATATAGTTAGATAAAAAGATTAATGAGAATGGTGTATCTTCCACTAGGAAGTTTAAAGTTAATAGGTATTTATTTTTATCTCATTATTAGAAATGTTTATATTTCTCTCTAAATCTCATTGTTAATAAAAAATTTTTCTGATAAAAAAAAGACAGAATACCAATTCTACAAGCAAGATCTCTCCCAGAAAACAGAAACAACTTACTCTATTAAGCAAATTTACCCCAATTCCCAATTCAGATAAGCAGTATGAGAAAAGAAAACCACAGACCAGGATTTTTCATGCACAAACCTCTTCAGCAAAATATAAGCAAATTCAATTCAGGAACTTATAGAAGAAATAATACAACATCACCTGGGGCTTATCCCATAAATACAGGGATCATTCAATAGCTGAAACCCAAATCAATGCAATCTTTTATAAAAACAATCTAAAGTAGAAAACCACTTGATTATATAGATCATAGATCTAACTATAAAGCCATAAAACTCTTCAAAGAAAGCAGAGGAGAACAGCTTTGTGCTATTGGCTTGGCAAAGAGGTCTGAGGCATGACAAAAGGCATGACTGATAAAAGAAGAGAATAATAATAAGGACTTTATGAAAATGAAAGCTTTGGTTTTGTGAAAGACTTTTTTTCTTTTTACAAACACTTGGAAAAATTGGTTAGCAATATCTACTAAAATGGAAATATACAGTACATATTGTATGACCCAGAAGTATCATTTCTAGATACATACTAAACAGATATACCTATAAAAGTACACCAATTGTCTTGAACTTGAATGTTCACAGCAACATTATAACAGCCTCAAAATGGAAGCAAACTAAATGTCTATCAACAAGAAAATTCTTAAATAAATTTTTGTATTTTTAATAGCATAATGAAAGTTAAGAAAGCTACTGTTACTTGCAATAGCACAGATCAAAATAATAAACATAATATTAGGCCAAGAAAGTCAGTTACATGAGAATACACTGTAGCACTGAATTGACATGAAAGGTATTTCTAAGAAGGAAAAACAGAGAGAAGAAAATATTTGTGAATAAGAAAGACTTCTATTGAGAAGATCTTTCAAAGTTCATCAGAAAGAAGAAATAACCCAATGTAAAATTAAGTAAAATAATTAACAGACATTTGGACCAAAGAGTCTGGGAAGACAGTGAACACACAGGCAAAGATGTTCAACATCTTAACAGTTAGTGAAATGCAAATGCAAACCACAATGAGACATCACGACAGACATGGCAGAACAGCTATCATAAAAAACAGTGACAATAACCATAATACCTCATCATACATTGCTTTTAAATTATTCAGTCCCTTATCTGTTTCAGAGCAGTATACACAATTTATCCAGTTTTTCTCAGTCCTACCCCCACCCTGATATTAGTCCCATTTTACAGCAGTGGCACCATGCAATAGAGTCCACAATTAAGGTTGCATAGTGGAATGTACTTGAGGCGGTGGGAGGGGTGCAGGGGATTGTGTACCAGGGAGGGAGACTTTCTTTTGCTTTTGAAAGAGAGGAGCGAACTGGGGGGTGGGGGGAGAGGGCTGGGCGGGTAGAGAAGTGCTGCAATGAATGAATGGAAATCCAAAATTTCTGTAAATGTTCATTAAAACTACTTTTTTTTAAAGCGTGGTATTTCTGTCATAGTAATGATTACTTGCTGTGCATCTGAGAACTGGACAATGAATAAAGGATGACAAAAAAGAAAAAAAATAAATTGACTTAGTAGTGATTGTGAAAATAATTTCTACGGGACAGAAACTGTTGACAGAAAATAATAAAAGATATTTGAAATTTGAAAAAAAAAAACCCAACAGTGACAATAAAAAGTGTTGGTGAGAACACAAAGCAAGTCAAGCTCTTATTCACTGTTGACTGGAATACAAAACGATAAAGTCATTCTGGGAAAGTTGAGTAATTTCTTGTAAAATTAAACATATGCACATGATGTAGCGTCTCCACTTCTATGTAAGTATCTAACAGAAATAAAACCTATGTCCAAACAAAAACGTGTCACACAGGTATTTATAGCACCTCTATTCATATGCATCCCAAACTGGAAATGAACCAGCTGTTCTTTTCAGCAGGTAAATGGATAAACAGGTGGACACGACTCAGTGGTAACAAAGTGCACTCTTTAAATACATAGTGCCTTGAAAAATCACAAAAGCCTCATGATCAAAGGAACCAGTCTAAAACTCATATTGTATGATCTCATATATGATGACCTTGAAAAGACAAGACCATAGTGATGGAAAACATTTCAGTGGTTGCCAAAGGCCAGGTCTGTCTGGAGAGGGTGTGAGTACAAAGGGGTTGCCTGAGGGAGGTTTTTTCAGTGATGGAACTGTCTGTATTCTGATTGTGGTAATGGTTACACAGATTTGTAAATGCATTAGAATTCATGGATTGAAGCTCAACATCAAGAAAACAAAGATTCTCACCACTGGACCAATTGGCAGCATCAGTATGGATGGTGAAGAGACTGAGATTGTTGACGGTTTCAGTTTGCTTGGCTCTACAGTCAACACTCTTAGTACCAGCAGCCAGGACATTAAAAGACAAATTGCATTGGAAAAGTCTGCTGTCAGAGACCTCTCCAAAGTACTGAAAATCAATGATGTCAGTCTGGAGACTAAAGTGTTCCTCATACAGGTCATGGTCTTTGCAATTACTTGCTATGCATCAGAGAGCTGGACAATGACTAGG